GACCCCAGAAATCCCGGTGAATCTCGGCCGCCGCTCTTGATCGTGGGTTCTGAGCCTCTGGCCGTGGAGACGCATTTATGGTCTGGATAGCTGGGGAACCAATATCTCAGGCTGTCAGAATTCTTGTGAGAATGTCCACGTCTAATCATTCTGATCCTCATCACCAAATCCTGACTTCAGTCACTTCCCACCTTCCCTCATGCATTAAATGCTTCTTTGTGGCCAATGGGTTTGCTGCATTAAACAGGCACTACTTCATTAAATGAAGCCTGGGACCCTGCTGTCACGTGATGATTTGTCTTTAATGCCTTGACCGCGATTTTGTTCGGCCTCAGCCTCGGCCTGCGTTTGAGGCCGAGATGATCATGCCTTAGCATTTCTTCTTTTATCTTTAGGAAGGCGAAGTAACCTGGCGAAACGCTGCGTTTTAGTTTTTACGAACAAGTGCCAGGGCCGAGAGAAGGGGCTCCTTCGGCCAGCTTATGGCCGTGATTCATCAGGCACAAACAGAAGTATCTGTGTTCGTATTGTATGCTTATTGCCCAAAAACTAGATCGTAATGTACTTTTATTGGTATTGTATTGCCTCTTTATTGTGTGCGGAGCCATTGCTTTTGCAAAACAATTGAAGACAATCACAACTCTGACAACAGCATTATCATAATCTAACAAGGATGTCAATTTCCTTATTCCCGGATATCCGAACATACCCATTCACAATTTGATGGTTATATCAAATCCATAGATGACCTTAGGTATGAATAAAATAATGAACATGAATACAATCTGGGACAATATCGGATGCAACGATGAAACTGGTGTTACCATGTTGCATTAACAAGGATGGGTCACTTTTGTACATCCATAAAATATAACCTCTACATCTGATAAATGGTAAAGCAGGACTGTACGCTCTTAAATTGGAAAGGGTTTAGGAAATATCCGTGGTTCTATAGCACGGAAATAGCCATGGAAATATCGGACATACATCGATGCCGATAACACTTGTGGCTCATAACCTGGAAGGGGGGAAGGGTTACAACCCCTGTCTATGTGACTTGAAGAATGGATAACAATTGTTTGAAAGTTCAGATCGCGATATTATTGATATTATAGATAATATCGCGATCAGTTGACCATGTGTAGCTGCATGGATAATTCCGGATAATTTCCGGGAAATTATCCATATTTTATTATATAATGAGAAATCATGAAGTACTACCAGTAGCACGATAATTGTGTAAGATTTGCACTTTGAAGGAGTTTTATGTATGGTATGCAATTTTAGTTAGCCTTCTAAGCCCTTTCATTTTGGGCACACACATTTGACATTAAACTATCAATACGACTACAAAACATGTACAATATATTACCAATACGATGACAATAAAAGGGCAACAGTCTAGCGATACTGTGAATAGCCTAGCAAAGGAACAATATATGGCACTATGACTACAATCACAATACACATAACACCAAATCCAATACAATTCAAATGAAAATGAACGGTACATAACAAAAATTCACAAATTATAATATGTAAGACACATTGGCCAGTGGAACATTGTTGTTACAGCTGGTTGCATTGTCACTGGTGGCACCGTATGGTGACCAATTTGTACTAAAACTAGAATGTCATTCCAAGGGACTTGTTAAGTTGTTCGGTATGCCTGGCATGACCCTTAACTTGACGGACTTTCATCCCGCCAGCATCACCTAAGCTATGCATCAACTTCCCAGATTAACAAAACTGAGGTAGAAACTAAACACTTCTAACCTCTACGCAACGGGCTGCTTGTTGGTGACGGGGACAAATTGTTTGCATGTATTTCAGTAGTGGCCCTTGACACCACACCTTGAGCATTTTTTTTTCACTGGAGGCCTCTCCTTTAGAAGCTATTCTTTGCGATTTGCAACGGCCCGGCATAACCTTAGAAAGAGGAGGGAGGATTTTAACATTGTTCAAATTTTCGGGAATAACCCATGTGCCTTCAGGTGGTACAGGATAAATAGATTCAGCATATGCTGCTGCCCATGTAGGTCGTGTATAATACGAAGAGGCAAGGGAGTAGGGGTTCAATTTCAAGTGCCGACATACCGCAATAGCATGCTTGCACGGGAGTTGCTCTAAGTCAAACTTCCTGCACGTACAACTACGGTTTTGCAAGTGCACCAAACCGTTCAAATCACCATCCATAACATTATACTCCACATCATTGATTTTTACCACATTCATCCTTGAAGCAGCGTCTAACCTCTTCCTTAACTTCTTTTCGCCTAAATCAGGGCACAACGTAGAATGACATTTCATTGCTAAATCTCGACGTTGACTAAACCAATACAGAAGTAGATTTGTAATTTCATCGATCAAGTGTACCACCGGAAGCATCCTTGCAAAACGAAGAACTGAATTAATGGACTCCACAATATTCGTTGTCATCACATTATATCGTCGTCCATCACAATGGGCTCGAGACCACTTATGGAGGCCTGCACGTAGTAGATAAGTTCGCACTCAGTCATTGTTTATCATGGAGAAGTGACGATTGAACTCCGCTAGACCATAAGACTTAGCTGCCCTTACAAAATACCCCAATATCAGATCCTGCTGCTTCAAGTGAAATGAGGCTTTCATATTTCCCTTCAAGTGATAAAAGCAAATACCATGTGTTGCCCCAGGAAAAATTCTTTGCAGCCCATTTTGTATGCTAACATTTCGATCAGATATGACAACAAGATTCGAGCAAGCTGCATCCGTCTCCAAATCTCCAATCCCAAAGGCAACAGGATATATGTTACGATTTCCGTCAAATGCCGTCGCAACAAACAACACACATTTATACTTGCACTTCAAATGGGTAGCATCAACAGCAATCACGGGCCGCATTGACGACTGAAATCCTCTTATGCATGCACCAATTGACATAAAAAAATATAAGAAGTGGTCAGTTGCATCAGTCTCAATGTATGTCAAAGTTCCAGGATTTGCACCCTCCAATTGATAACAATAGGAAGGGAGAAGGGAATATGACTGTTCTGCAGACCCTCTAATTGTTTTGAAAGCTAACTCTCGGCTTCTCCACGCTGTAGTGTAGCTTATGCTCACACCAAAATTATTTTTCACATCTTTCTTGATATCAGCTGGAGTATAAATGGTGTGCGCATCCTTAAATCTCCAATTCACATAATCAGCCAGCAATCCAGTTGTAGCTTGAGGATGCTGACTACTTACATACCTTATATCACATTCATGAATTGGATCGTATTTAGCAACCCTAAACTCATGTAATCCAACTTTATATGCCCGAACTAACCAAGGACAAGGAAGCTGCCAACAGCGAACACACAACCGACGCTTCCCAGATTGGATTGTTCTCAATCGAAAGTGGCCTCTAATTGCTGCTAACCTTATGGTTTTTAAAAGCGCCATCTTATTTGGATAAACTCGACCAACCTTAAAATTTGGTTCCCAATTGATGCAACAAAGGCCTCCACCATAATGATTATGTTCCAAACTCTGACCATGCATCAAATCAACTCGGCTTCTATGCATTTCAGTATACCTTGATTGTCGGGGAGGTTCAGATTGCACCTGTCTACACTGCACAGTGGAGGGCTCGAAATTGCTGTCCTTATGAGGATGCTCATTTGGCGCAGAGTAGAGTTCCTCTTGGTTGCTAGCTTCACAGAAATCACCATCTATGTTTTCGACACTTTGAAAATTAACATCTTCAACCCAATCACTCCAATTAAAACCATTTCCACGATTTTCAGTTTGGTTGTCCCGAATGACCTCATTTCTTTGTTCCACAACAAATTTAGCAGGCGCATTGCTACTCTCAACACTTACAATGCCATTGCACCCTTCAATACCATGACCTTCTAAATTGTTCAAGCTTGCTATTAAAGAGGTGACTTTAGAGGCCATAACATCTGTGTTGTACTTTAAAAAATATTGAACATCATCATTGTCTTCAACCCTTATGTGCTTATAGACAGATGAGGATAGAGGAACTGAATGCTTCAGTGTGACAATATATTTCGTCGGATCTGCATCCATTATCTTATAAATGCGCTCAACAAGATCGGAAAATGTTACGTTCCGTGACACTATTATGCCTTTAGCCTCCCCACCTTCATAAGTGTCAATGTTATCCTTCTGAACCCAACTTCCATTGTAGCATACCAATATTCCAACGCTATCCATTTATGCAAATAACATAAATCATTAGTAGACCGATTAATAACACAAAACCACAACAAATTAGATCAAATAAGAACATATATAACTATCATTCCACTACACGTATCATCTTATCAATCCTCAATTCTTCAAACTCAAATTGTAGCTACTTCAACAACAAACTTTTATTCCTTTCTGTGTTTTCTCGGATTTTGTACATATATGTGGGTTCCAACTTATTACCAAACTCACATAAACATACCATGGCAGCAATATGAACCCTCTAAACTATAAGGGTTTTGAACAAATTTAAACACCTTCAACAAAAGGATCAGGTTGTGATACAAAACGAATTATGTAGTATAAGCTTAATTACCAAATTGGATACCAAAACACACAACCTAAACTTCTGACCAAAACAAACCCAGAATGGCAATAAATTCCCCAGTTAAGCATCTAAATTGAGGCTACCACTAAGCTAACAAACCTATTTTTAGGGCAGACAAAGTTAACATATGCTTTTTCTGTGTTCTATTATTTTGGCCATTATCAAACACATTGCACTACATTTTACAAGCATTCAGTGAATTTTATACAAAATTCAAGTTGACCACACAGATCCCACTGCAGATAATAACAAAAACTACGAATTTCAACATATCAAAACGCCTTTAAACTGAAAATTTTATCTTTTCTGCCCATCTGTGGAGAAAAGGGGATGAACCAATTTATAATACACATACACTACAAAACCAATATCAGAACTCGCATCTGTTCACAAGGACGACGGAAGTCGCCAATTTCGCTTCGCTGTGGAGTCGCGACAGTCACTTGGATGCGGAGGTCCACAATGGAGGTCGTGGGTTGCCGGCTTTGCTATGGTCAAACTAGGGTTCCAAACTTTTGGACATCTGGGTTATGACGATGGATGGGTTGCGAACATGATTGCTTAGTGCCGACATGCCTCGCAACCTGGAGTTCAGTCGATATTTGGGAAACTATGATTACAGAGAGGAGAGGACTTGAGAGAAGTTGCCTTTCAACAAAGAGGTGCTAAATGGTTGATATGTATGCTTTTATATGGAGGGCACTTAGGTAATTTCACATCCCAAAGTGATTATATCTGAATAGAATTTGTAAGGTGATCATTTCAGAATAACATTTGTGAAAAGTGATTATTTGAGTATAAAACCCTAATTTTTTCTGGTTTGAGAGAGAGACAGAGAGAGAGAGTGAGTGAAGTGTAAAAATGGGGAGGAGGAAGGGAGTTGTGGACTTAGACGAGTCGCCGCTAGATGACTTCGATCCAGTGAATCCATACAAGGACCCGATGTCGATGCTGGAGATGAGGGAGCACATAGTGCGAGAGAAGTGGATCGACATCGAGAAGGCCAAGATCATCAGAGAAAAGCTCCGCTAGTGCTAGTGCTACCGCATCGAGGGCGTCAACCACCTCCAGAAGTATCGCCACCTCGTCTAGCAGTACCTTAAGTCCACTCGTGGCATCGGTAAGGGACAAGGACCATTGTCCTCATGAGTTCCATGGTCTGCCTTCCTACCCTACCCTACCGTATCCTCTCCTTTCCTAGCATATAATTTCCCCTGTTTTTCTTAATTAATTCACCTTTTCTTTTTTCCTTTTGTGAATTTCAGGTCCCAAGGTTGAGGTCAACTGATCCTTACTTGTTTGAGGTATTCTATCTTATTTTTTATTTGAAGCTCTCAATTTGTGAAAGAAATTGCCATTTTTTTTTTACTGAGTTTAGCGTTTCTTCAAGGTTTGGCGTTGTGTTGCCTCATGGAATTGCAATTTATGACTGTCAAATTCCCTTGAAGTTCCATTTTGTGGACCAAATTTTTGATCAAATTGGGACCTTTTACACTTAAAGTTGAATGCTTGTCAAATTTCCTTAGGATCCTCTCTGAGGATTGGCATTCTTTTGTTTGTCAATTGAGATTGTATAAAGCTTTTTGATTGGCTAGGGTGCCAGCCATTAGCTCAAGAGGTACAAACCTCTTGAGTGTTAAACCTTTCTAAAGCTACTTACATATTTATAGTCTTTCGTATTCTAATGGCTCTATGTGTTTCCTTCTATTCTTGCAGCCATTTCATTTCAATTCAATTCAAATGAACAATAACTAATTAGATTATCTTACCAAAATAAATAAATATATATATAATTTTATCAATACAGGATAACAAGAACCATATTTTGTTAGTTGAAAGCAGAAAATTAGAAATCTAAAATGAAGAATCTTGAGAAACAGCAACATCTTTGCTGAAGCAGCCACCACAATATGGAGTCCTCAAGTTGCCTTAAACAAAGAAACTTAACAGCCCTTGTTTAAAGCTTTGGTTGCCTTTGAGATAGGACAAGGATGGCTTTCATGATTGCTATGACGGTAATCAAATATAGGAAAAAAGGAAAGAAATTGCTTAAACGTGTTTGGTACTGCAGCATTTTCTATTGAGTATTCCTCTAAATGTTAAATTGGGACTCTCTCTTTCTTTTTTTGGGTTCAATATTGGGATTTTAGCATCTTCGTTTGATTTTTAGTGTGTTCATTTCATTTCTGCATGCCTTGTTTAAAGCTTTGGTGGCCTTGACACTTCAAATACGAAGAGTCGTTGCAAGGAACTTGTTTAAAGCTTTTGTATATTTTTATAATTTTAAAAGTAATGCAATGAAACAATAGAGAAATGACATAAGTCATAATTGCAATGTTGCAGCATCACTTGTTTGCCACCAAAATATGTTTCGTAAAGGCTTCAAAAGGATTCATTAGAGCTTCAACAACACTTGATTTACTATTAACTAAAGCTTCATAAATATTATTTTTATTTTTGGACTAAGAAGTATTCATTAGTATTTTTATGAATTTTTTCAAATAAACTCAAAAGATGCAGAAAGTATCACAAGAAGTTTTAGTGTATTTTTATGAATTTTTTTTTTTTTTTTGAATTTAATATGATTTTTGGAAGTTATAGAATTGAAAAATAGTATTAAATGGAAGAGAATGACAAGTGGCAACACTTGATGGGTGTGTCATCAGTGCTTATGACGGGTGTCATTCTCGTGTAGCACTACGTGTCATCAAAGGTTCACTTTTGTGTCTTTACCTTAAACAATTCACAAAAAATAAAAATAAAAATCATTAAAACAAATCAAAAATTTCTACAAACTCCTTACAACAGTATTGTCGACTATTTGAAAATCCAAATTTGACTATGAAAATTTTGAAGTAATAATTGGAGG